TCCTACAATTAGCCAAAAACCCTTGCTTGAAATAATTGAATGACATATACATTCTATCAAAAATAGGGTCAATATTTAGGAACAAGGATGGAGTCACATTAATACAATAAACAATAGTCCTATTGTTTAAGTTATTTAACTCTAAACAAGTAATCATGTAACTTTGCACACTCTTTCCTATAATCACCTTTTAATTTCTCCAATACTTTTGCTATAGCTCTTATGTATTTAGTAAATGTCACTTCAACATGGAAATCATCCCTTATAAATAGTCTCAAATCTTTCAATATGATGGAAGTCATTGCTCTCATCTTGTTGAAGTAATTCGTTGCTAACCAAATTCTAGTTAGCCTTCTGTTTCTATTCACTTGGATTGAACCTATGTTCATCAACATAATTATTTCATAAAAGTAATGACTTGGTCTTATAGAAAGGTTGTTATTTTATGATTTAATTGGAATAAGATAATAAATTGATATTGAGGATGGATTTTGTTCTACAACCTCAAGTATGAATAAAATTTATTCTTGATATTTTATTTATTAGTCTTCTTATTAAAAAAAATAGTGAATTCTATGCATGATGCAATCTTTACCACATAAAAATTAGGATTTACAACTAAATTGACATTGATTAATTTAGATAAATTATTTTTTTTCCTAGCATTAAAGTATTTTCTTGGTTATTGTAGATTCTTCTACTATTTTTGTTGATAAATCTAGCATTTCATTGCTATGTGTTGATAATTTTGTTGATTTGAAGAAAAATATTCTTTGCATTGAGATGTGTGGATCTATGTAAATTAGATTTTATGAGAAAATAATTAAATCAAACACACACAAAAATCGAAGTAATAGAAAACAATTCAATCATAAGAACACAAGCACATGAATACAAAATTTACGTGAAAAATCATCTCTATCGTAAGGAAAAAAACTGCATGACTAATTTTGAGATAATTCACTATAATTAAGAAAATAATACAATCACTTAAATTTCTCCATCAACTCAAAAAAGAAAAAAATATTCGCAATAGCTCAAGTCACCTCTCTAACTAAATTCGTCTCACCACGAAAACCTAAGATTTAAGAAATCTTCGTGTTTCTATAAAGTCCAATACCGTATAAGATCATCACTTTAAACATTGCAATTCTTTGTAATTACAATACCAAAAAATCAATGCTAAGAAAGCCTTGATATTTATTGCACCAAAAATTGTTGTATTCTTTTTCTATAACAATAAAAAAAAATTCTTCTTCTCTTATTACTCTTATGATGGCAACATGTGTGTGTGCATGCATGCGCATATGTGTATATATATGCAACATATATATACATGTGTGTGTGCATACCTCGATAATTGTTCAGTAATCATTATTTTATAATTATAATAGGAAATACCATTATTTCCTTTTTCTTTTTATTGATTTACTACCACTTATTAGCATGCACTCCTAGTTTGGTCTTCAATTTTATTTTCTTTTTAATTTATTTTTTATTATTTAATTTTTTTTTAATTAATTTTGTTATGAGTCATGCAAAAGCCACTAATGGGATAGACCTTAAGTTTATACCCGATAAATCTCTTCTTTCAATCTTTGGGGGAAAAACCTCAATTCATCATCTAGAGTTCATACCAACATCATCGATTGTTTCTCCATAATCTTACAAAACCTCAACTCATCATCTAGAGTTCTTACCTTAAGTTTATACCCAACAATATTCTTCTTGCATGTTATCAATTTTGTTGACAAATTAGCAAGATCTTTATCTTGAAGAATCATTATCAAAATCATCAAGTGTTTCTCTATGATCTTACAAAACCAATGACATTGTCTATTATTAAATTTTGATTCATGCCCTATCATAAGTCAAAATATTACGGAAGCTATTTATCTCTTCCTCATCCATCAATAAGACATTGTTACAACAAGAATTCTTAGTGAAAGAATGACATTAACTAGTAAACTTACTCGTTTAAGGCTTTACTTTCCGAAGTGAAGGATCTTGTTTCCTCTCGCTTAACATTTTTTTTGTCCATATCATCATTATAACTAAGTATAGGCTCAATATTGATTTCATGTTCTTCATTTAATACCCTCCTCTTGCATATGTGGCAATCTCTTTGGCATTCTTTTTCATCAACGTGAACTCGCTATGTAGACCATAACTTTGGACAAATTTTATATCTAACTACATTCTTCTTAAGCTTGATAAACTATATTTTTGTCTTGTACGGTTTATCACTAATATTATCTCTAGCAATAACTATTGATCTCTTGATAAATTTTTATTTTCCATCATAAAAATAATTATAGTATCCAATAATGTAAAATACTCGAGTAGAAATTAGATTTAGGTATAAATCGATTCATGCATCATATCCTTCAAAGCCGATACATAATCTATTCATGTTTTTATACCTCATCACTAACTTTTAGAATAATATCATAGCTATCATTGTCCTTCTTTACTTTGCCAAAGTCTCATGTTTTGTACACCATAACAAATTCCTTCCTAAAAGTAGTATGATATACGAGTGCTAAATCAACAATTTATTCAACACGAGAATCTACAAAATTCCATTTATCTTCTACTATGTGAGAGTACTACCACATCTTGATATGAAATTAATACCATAGTGGTGTTCTTACTATCTTATTCTTGATTCTTTAAATCTTATTTTTCTTTCATTCTTTATACTTACTCTTTATGTGACCTTCTTTTCTATAGTGATAACATTTAAAATTTTCGTTGTTATGTAATTTGTCTTTGGATTACTCTACCTACTAAATTCTTTATTCATACTCCTCTTTTTGTTCTTTTTTATAAGAGCTTATACTTCATCCACTATCACTTTGCTTCGTCTTGTTTCTTCATTTAACAAGCTATTGTTAACCATGGATAGTGACAAAACACCATTCTAAGTAGAATTATCAAGCGTTATAATCAAAGTCTCTCGACTATCTAGCAAAGTCTCTAATAGCAATCGTGTTTGTAACTCATTATTTAATACTATTTTTATAGTTATAAATTGATTAATCAAATCATGAATGTCACTGAAGTGTTCAACAAAGTCCTTCCATCTCGGTATTTTAAATTCATAACTTTTTAATCAAAGAAATTTAGTATGTACGAGTCTTACTTTCATACATATTCTTTATTATTTTCTTTCCATAGCTTTCGAGCATATGCCTATTTGGATATGTGGTAAAATACACTATCATCCACCTATTATCTAATAGTTCCAATAGCTTTTCTATACTCATTTTTCCAAGTATCATCGGTTTTGACGAGTTGGTTTGACTTTATCTTAATTGAATCAAACAAATTATGATAATAAAGTAAATCCTCCGTCTTTGGCTTTCGGATCGAAAAATTCAAAGGCGCCAATTTGATTATAGTTCTCAAATTATTTTTTTCCATCTAATTTACATAAATATTTCAATTAAAATTCTCACATTATTGTTGAGAATTTAATCTCATTTTGTATAAATTAGATTTTATGAGAAAATAATTAAATCAAATACACATAAAAAGCACGAACAAAAAATAAACAGAAGCACAACCACAAGAACTTAAAATTTTAATGAAAAACCATCTCTATCTTAGAGGGGAAAAAAATACATGACTAACTCAAAAAATAATCTACTATAATTAAAAAACTAATATAGTCATTCAAGTTTCATGGGTAACTTGAAAATCTGTCTCACTACAAAAATCTAGATTTTGTAAAACTTGTGTTTCTGCCAAAATACTATATATCATTACTTTAAATATTGTAATTTTCAATGATTATGGCATTCAAAAATCAATGTCAGAGAAAAACTCTAATATTTGTTGAAAAAAAATCTTTACTTTTTTTTCTATTGCAATAAAAAAAAGTGTATATATATATATATATATATATATATTTCAGCTGGTTATATGTATGCATGCTTCGGCAACTGTGGAGTAATCGTTCCTGCACAATCAAAACAAGAAATAACATTATTTCTAATTTTTTCTTAATTCCCCGCTACGTTTAGCACACACTCACGGTTTGGTCTTTAATGTCCTTTATTTTTCAATTTAGTCCTTTTTCTGATTAATTATCTTTCCATAAATTTCTTTATGGGTTATGCTAATAAAATTCATGGATTGAACCATCAATGTATACCCAATACTTTCTTATGGCATGTACCAAGTCGGCAAGGGCAACAAGGTCCACAGGTAAAAAAAAAAAAAAAAGGTTTTTGTTTTCTCTTTAAAATTTTTATATTTTGTGGTTTTGATTGATCATGGCATGTGAGTTTTTGTTTTATTTTTAATCAGACTTAGAAATATAAAAGGATTTCAATTTTTTGTTGTATTAATTGGATTGGATTATGAGATTGAAGCTTGTTAGAAACACTGTACTTGACCATTAAAAATCATCAAAATCGATGGTTCCACTTGTAATTATTTTTTACGTTTGAATTTGTTTGGATGTAAAATTAACACTAAATGTGGCTTATTATTGTGGTTCGTCCTCGTATTTGCACTATGAGATTAAAAGTTTGTTTGGATTTTACTATCGAAAATAGCACGCAAAAGAAAGAAATGAGAAGAAAGATGAAGTTTGATGATCGATTTTTTTGCTGACAGTGATAAGTTTTTGGGATTAGAAATTGATGTCAATTACAATGATTTGGCAATAATATATATATATATATATATTTCTCAGTAAATATTATACATTGATATTTGTCATGGTTTGTTGGAGGTTACTGAATAATTTATTAATAACTTTAATTTTTGTTTTAACGAGAATTCAATCACCACAATTTTAAAAATAAAAAGAGGCAATTAAGACAAGTAAAAGTAGAGGAGAAAACAAGCCATCAGCACAGGTAAAAAATAGAAGGAAAAACTACTACAAAACCAAGGACAGAACGATATATAAAAGCTTTTAACCCATCAAAATTATAAGGCTTAGGAGAGAAGTTTTTTCTTTTCCTTAAATGCCTTTTGAGGGCAAAATGGTAAAGACATGTGCAATTACTATCAGGGATCAGGTGCGTCGAAGCCACCAAGAGAAAATGTCTAATGAATTGGCGGTGGATGGTGATGATATTTTAGGTGTTAATTTATGTTTAACGCGGTGGAATCATCACCGTTCAAATTACTTATTACAAAATGGGAAACCGCGTAAAATGGTCATCGGGTCCCACAATAAGTGGCAGAGAGATATGAGTATGGGTCCCACTGAAATTCAGTTTTCAATATATAATAACATTTGACATTGCTCTCTCGCCCGAAAACAGACGGCTAGTAAGCTTAGGCTGTCCGTCTGATACACTTCATTATCAGACCAGGTTATACAAGACAAGAAAAAACAAACAAAAAAAAAATATTAAAAAAAAAAACACTAAAAACACTTGAAAAAAAGAGTCAAAGATCTGTTCTGTTACAAATTGCGAGCCCAAATCGGTGTTAAAACAATAAGCAAGTGCCACATCATTGCCAATTCTAAAGAAGGGCGACGACTATTTTAACTCATTTTAACAAACAACCACCCTTGAGATTGCCGGAAACACAACCGTGTGTTGAGACGAAGATGACCAATCTTTCCTTATAGAAGATACGCGGTCTTTGCTTACAACGGAACTCCGCGTTCCAGGTTATATTGAAGCAGAGCATGGAAGTGATTAATTATTTTGTTTATATAGTCCCTTTACTCAAGAAATATTCTTAATACAGTCCTTACATCCAATTTACTTTACTCTATGCAACATGACATGATATGCAATATAAAGCTGACACCTATCAAATCGTAGGATGATATGATCATTTAATACACAGAAGATAATTTGAAAAGGAGTTACTGCAATTAATTTGAGAGATTTGAGATTTCAGGGATGAGAAAGGAGATTTGAAAAAAATCTAGTTCAAGGTTCTAAATGGTTTTTAAACAAAATCCTTTTTATTCTTTTTTAGTTTAATTTCTATTTTTAAACTTTGCATCTTTTTCTTTTGATTTTCTAAGGGGTTTTCTTTTAATTCGATTTTTTTTTTTTACTTTATCTGACATGTAGATTCATGAATCAAAAGGCATCGGTGAATCAAACGAAATGAGAGGGACACCATTCAGAGAAGTTCTTGATTCGAGGACCAAATATACTATTAACCTGAAAAATGAAAAGCGTAGTAAATAATAAATAAATTAAATGGACACTTCGCTCCTAGAAGCCAAACAAGCAACCTTTTCTCCTATTCCTAAACTCTCCCAATTTTGTGTTTTTTTACTTCTGTGTCTGTGGTGTTCTCTCTGTACAGAGAAAAGCGAGAGGAAGTAGAGAAGAGAAAACAACAACGATAATAATATAATATATTACTCCTTTATGGGTTTTCTTTGCTGCAGTGGAAAATCGAGCAAGCGATCAGAGAGCAGCAGCATCAATGAAAATAACAGTAAAATTAAACGCAATGATCAAGCACAACTCACTTCAGGTAGCTAAACTTTTCAAGATCAAATTTTTTATCTTTTTAAATTTTAAAATGTAACCCTTTTTGTTTTCCTGTTTTGGTATATATTATCGTTTTTATTTTTGTTTTCAGTCGATTGATATGATATGGGGTTTTATTTCCTTTTGGCAATCAATCACAATGGATTGAAATATAAAGGGTTTTCTTATGTTTTTTGATAATCAGTTTTTTTTTTTCGCCTTGATTTGGAATAAAGAACTCTAAAATATTTTTATATAATTATTGCTAAAATAGGTTTGGTCAAATGTCTAATTGTTTTCATTTTGTTGTTGTTTGAAACGTTTCTCTAAATCAAGAGAGGTAATTCTTCGTTGTTGTGTGGGTTTGTATTGCCGTTTGTTTTGCATATATAGCGCCAAACCCTTCTTTGCTATACATTATTTTTTTCATGTCTTTTTGTTTGATTTCAACTTTCAAGGCCGTCCCTTCTGATTGTTTTTTTTATTTTTTTTAGGTTCATTGAAAGTGAAGCCATATGCGAACAGTCTAAGGAAAGAGGGGGCGTCTAAGGATGATCAATTATCGTTGGATGTAAATAGTTTAAATATGAAGGATGAGATTTCTAAGGATAGAAGAAGCAATGGAAAGCAGGCTCAAACATTTACTTTTGAGGAACTTGCAGCCGCAACGGGCAATTTTAGGTCTGATTGTTTTTTGGGCGAGGGAGGTTTTGGCAAAGTTTACAGAGGGTACCTGGAAAAAATCGGCCAGGTTGGTACAAAATAAGTCATTTACTGCATGCAGAAATGTTGTGGTCTATGTCAATAGATTTGTATTTCATTACATGGTACCTTCGTTTTACATTATCCCCTTTGTAGTTTGCTTATGTTCACTGTTCAGTAGTTGGTTAGACTCAAATTGTGTTCTTGTTGTTATAGGTTGTTGCTATCAAGCAACTTGATCGAAATGGACTTCAAGGGATTAGGGAGTTTGTAGTTGAAGTAGTGACCCTAAGTCTAGCAGACCATCCAAATCTTGTCAAGTTGATTGGATTTTGTGCTGAGGGAGATCAGAGGCTATTGGTTTATGAGTACATGCCATTAGGTTCTCTGGAAAATCATTTACATGGTATGGAAGTCTACTTGGCAACTCATTCTTGTTGTCATTGTTTACAACCGGTTACCATCCTCTTTATCTTTTAACATTTTTGCTTTTCTCAATTCTGCATTCAGATGTTCCGCCCAATAGGCAACCACTTGATTGGAACACAAGAATGAAAATAGCTGCTGGTGCAGCAAAGGGTTTAGAGTATTTGCACAATGAAATGACACCGCCTGTTATATATCGCGATCTAAAATGCTCCAACATTTTGCTTGGTGAGGGCTATCATCCAAAGCTATCTGATTTTGGACTGGCAAAAGTGGGACCCAGCGGAGATAAGACTCATGTTTCTACAAGGGTTATGGGCACATATGGGTACTGTGCACCAGATTATGCAATGACAGGCCAGCTGACGTTTAAATCAGATATTTATAGCTTTGGCGTTGTTCTTTTGGAGCTCATCACAGGCAGGAAAGCAATCGATCAAAGTAAAGATCGTATTGAGCAGAATCTCGTTGCATGGGTAAGACAATATCTGATTGACGTCCTTGTTTTTACATTACTGTTAAGGTCTTTGTTTTTAAAATTCAGCTTACTGGTGGTGCTTTCAAGGACACTTGTTTTTATTGGACCACTCTTATTAAAGGATTAATTTCTTTAAACTGAAATGAAATCTTTACTGGTTATTATAAAATTGAGAAGCAGCCTAATGTTTTGATGTCATTTGGCAGTTGGTTGATCAAACTGGCTCTACATGGTTAACTGGTTCTGATGGCACCACTGGTGTGGAATATAGATGATGTTTTTTTATGGTTTTGTTTTTGGTTGTTTTTTCTCTAGAATCTTTCAGTGCTTATAAAATTTAAATCTCTATAACAATTAACTAGTCATGAAAATCATTGGTTTACAACTCAAGTTGACTATAACTAGAATATCTTGGTAATTTGTGGTTGACTATATCTAGAATATCTTGATAACTTGTGATAAATAGTATTTCAAACGTAAGATCTTCAATTTAGTAACTTCGTGATAAATAGTTGACACTTAGCTTTCAACAAGGCTTAACTGGGAGAAGTGTGCAGAAGGGAATGGTTATGCACCCCATATTCTTTCTTTAATTAAACTAAGCACACGGCAAGTGAAATAGGTATCAGCAAGTGGAACCTTTTCCTCAACCATGAACACCTTTCTGTATGTTAATTGCCAGATATTAATTGAGTGCACTGAACACATAATCAGCTTCCTTTTGTAGTCTTTTTTCTCCTTAGATTTGCTTTGACCTGCACAAAACTGTTTGTTTCACTTCTCTTGCTGCTCGTTTTAAATTCCTATTCTGAACCGTCCTGCTGTTGTGAACAGCAGTCCCTTAGATGGCTTTTCTTTAGCTTTGTATCACTTCTCTTGCTGCTCCTATTAAATTCCTATCCTGAACCTTCCTGCTGTTGTTAACAACGGTCCTTTAGATGGCTTTACTGTAGCCTTTTTCTCCCTAGGTTTCTGTGACTTGCACAAAATTGTTTGTTTCACTTCTCCTCAGCTTCTATTAAATTCCTATCCCGAACCTTCCTGATGTTTTTAACAACAGTCTTTTAGATGGCTTTACTGTAGCCTTACCTCCATTTATCAATACACCCTGTGTTTACATGGCAGCATTATGTAAGGTTTTGATTGTAATAGAGGTAAAACTTCTATCAAGTTTTCAGGGAGTTTTGTAGTTTCCCACATCAATATAGTCAAGTTGTTTTTAAGTTTTCAAATAAGTTATGAGCAGAAACTTTATACTCTTGAATTTCTTTAAGTATTAGAGTGATCTTATACCTGAGCAAATTTTTAATCGTATTTCCTGATAATTAAAGTTTTTAACAAATGGAAGAACTCGTGTACCATTGTGATCATTGTAGATTTTGCATGCTTGCTTTTTGGAAATTGAAGTAGAAAAAATAGAAATTTGTTAACCCAAAAATAGAATCAGTGACATGCTTATGAAATCCAATGGATTTACTTGCAGGCACGACCCATGTTCAAAGACCGTAGGAACTTTTCGCGCATGGTTGACCCTTTGCTTCAAGGTCAATATCCAATGAGAGGATTATACCAAGCTCTTGCCATTGCTGCTATGTGTGTGCAGGAGCAGCCCAATATGCGCCCTGGTGTATCTGACGTGGTTATGGCTCTGAACTATCTGGCTTCTAACAAATATGATCCCCAAATTGCTTCTGTCCAAGACACTCGTAGGAGCCCATCTCGTCCTGGATTGGACGAGGACAATGATAGAGCACGAAGTGCAAATGGTAGGCTCCTGAGTGACTAATCTTGAGGACTAAAAATTAGGAATGAAGTGGCCAACACCTTTTTGCATGTTAATACACCTAGTGCCTGGTATCATTTTTTGTAACATGGGAGATAGCAGACAATAGTTTCATCCCCATCCTCTCACAGAAATTCCTGACCTTGCCTCTTCCCCGGTGTACATGAGAACTAGGTTTTTTTGTATGTAAGATGCCTTTCTTTAGGAATTATTCTATATAGTCTTAGCCTTAATAATCAAAGTAATAAGTGCCCTTCTCTAATGTCACAGACTCACAGTGTTCTTTTATGCACTGTCCATGTTTTCTTTCATGTCTGAATTTAGCATTATACTCGGAAATGGAAAGTTGAAATGGGAATGCTTTACCAGAACGCCGATCATCTTCTTCCCATCTGAGCATAAGGTTTACAGGCTTGGTATATTCTATGGCATATGCAACAACATGAAGACATTATGAAAGTTAACGGGATAACTTTGCACCCAAGGAAAGCCTTCAGTGAGGCAGGGTGTTGGTGGGATTTTGAACCAGAAGGGTCAGAATTTTCAGGTTCATGTGTTTGTTTGGTGTTGTAAATCTAGTCCTAGAGAGCACCCATGAAGTGACATAAACATGAGATTGCTGTTGCCAAAAACTTGAGGAAGATGACGCTTTGTTGAGACACTACCATTCTATTCCGTGCAATGAAATGAAATTTTAGATTTATTGGAATCCAATTCAAGTGCAATGGTGATATTGTGCATGCATACCATCTGATCGAACAAATAAAAATAAAAATAAAAAAGTTTGCTGACCCATAGGAGTGGTCTGGGGAAAAGAAGCTATAACCCAGATTTTTATTGTAATTGCAGTAGAAGAATCTACCAAACTATGGCTATCAGCACTTTGAGAATATAGTAGAGAAAACACCTTTCAACTAGGTGTTATAGACCAAACAAATTGTTGTCAATCAGGAGCTTGTATCAAACTTACCTCTAAGAACGAAGAAAACAAATGGCTATTGAAAACCTAAGTTCTTTGGTGCAGTAGCTCAAACTAATAAAAAATGAGCTCTATTTCTATTTTTATGCCCTTGGTATCGATTTTATTACTGTATGCATTCAGCATTCTTCTCGAAATTAGAGTGAGATGATACAATCTGAGAAAGAAAATAATATATTACTTATGGTCACTGCAATTCACTAATCTCACCTTCTCTGCAATTGCCCACCCATAAGTACATCGTCGAGGCTTTATTTGTTGGCAGAACTTTGCAACAATCCCTTCTTGGTGACTGCAAGAGAAACTGCATTCAGTTAGTAAAGGCATCAACCTTACAAGATTTTGAATGCAAGCTGCAAGCTGGCTGGTTGCTATTTGGGATAATATGTTTGACTTTCACTAAATTTTCTAAGCACCAACAAGTATATAAGCTAGCATTTGCTCATTTCCTTCCTATGCTCATTGAAAGGGCATCTGCTCCTTTTGCATTTGCAAGCAGAAATCGATAGTTATCATCCAAACGGTTGGCTTTTTTATTTTTATTTTTTTCGTTAGCCAGTCAGTAGCTTTTGACCATATGGATTAACCAAGAGGAGTGCAGTTAACGTCTCCTTTTCCACCCTGATATAAGATTTCTCCTTCGCAATTTGTTGAGGTACAAAATCTTTTGCTACAATAACAACTTCGCTAAGAGGGCTTTCTTTTCTCATAGGGTTACTGCCGAAAGGATAAAAGAATATAATGAACAATTAGGTGAGGGTATTATCAGTTACTAATTGTTTTGGAGTTTGGACTGAGACGGTGTGCATAATCAAATGTTTGAAAGAGGGCAAGAGAAAAACGGAGCATAATTATCAGCCATGGAATAAGATGGATACCTGATTAACGAAAATCATATTCTTTCAAATGACTAGAAAATTACCTTAAGCCATCGAAGGTGATCCGGCCTCTTCAATACTACAATAGAGTTGATTTTTTCTGGGGATGCCATTTTCCACCGGCAGTAAGGGGATGGTGACTTGTGGCGAGAGTAGACCCCGATCACTTGCTTCCTAACTCGATCATATTTAGAAGTGCTCATGTAAAAAACAAAGGGCTTCATACATGGGTGCTTCGTCACAGGCCTCGTGTTAAATGCATATGCGGTATAATCAGCTTTTCGATACCAATTAAGAAAGGTTCTTGTGGGCATCTCAAGCTCTCTAGGAGAGACTACTCCCCTCCAGATTTGAACAACGTAGCCCCATGAGACTGAGATGGACCAGTACCTTTTCTTGTCATAGCAGATGGATTGCTGCATTATGCTTGCTGAATCAAGCTGCACTGCCTTGAACAAGTGTTGGAGAGCTCTGACTCGGCTCATGCCAGGGAATATTGGCTGCACTACATCAATATGATGAAGTGAAGCCAGTGGAGCCACAGGATGGGCTGCCAGAAGCCCTAGAAGATCTCCATATACATCATACTGCATAAGCATAACACATTAACAATTCAGCTGCTATTATTTGATGTTATATACATATATATATATATATATATAAACTTATTTTTCTGAATTTTTTCTTCATGGGAAGCATTTCAGAAAAATATTGCTGGAATTAAAGAGATTCATGACGCAGAGAAACTTATTTATAAAACTATATAATTAGAATAAAGCCTTTAAATTAAACCTGATGGAAGCCAGATTCCTTGGAGAGCGGCACCCCAAGCTCGGCCATGCAAGCTTGAATTCTATCGTCACTGCCATATAATCCTGGATACCGCCGAATGCACCTGTCTTGCATCTTTGCCAACTCTTGTGCCAATGGCTGGCTAATAGCAAAGCCACCTCCTCCATATGCCATGGCATAAGAAAAATATATATTCTGAAGGTGACTCTCTGACGAACTCCCTACATAATAAAATTGCCTATGATCATATTTCGAAAGTATCCTTACCACATTATCAACTACGAACACTGTGTCATCATCTCCCATAACAAACCACCTCACATCCTTCAATCCAAGCCTCAACGTCTCCGAAACCAACCTCGAAATCCTCAATGCAGATCGATGTCCTTGCTTGTTCGTGTACTTGAACCTGGACGTATCCTCTGAAATCCTAATCTGAGGCAGCCCTTCATTTCTTCGGTTCCTTGCTTGTCTGTCCATCCAGACTATCCCTCTAGTCTGCTTAGGCCTCCACCATATCTTCACGTACTCCTTTCTTTTCTGCCACAAATCCGCGGACGCTGCTATCCCGAAAACAATGTGCTTAAGCTCAGTGTTGTAATTCTGTGATTTTTGAGGAAGAATAAGAGGTTCTAAATTACTGTCTTGTTCATTTAGTTGGATTGATGTGGATAAGTTTGTAAGATGTTCCAGATTTTCTTCGGTCGTAACACATTGGCGATCATTGTTCAGGAGAAGATGGGAAGAGTAGATAAGGTAAAGCGTGCCGACAATGACAAAGAACCAAGTGATCGTTTTTCGAAAGCCTGCAGTGATCGTTTTTCTAAAGCCTGAAGCTTGTGGCATGATGTTTCTAATATTTTGTTTTTTCTTTTCAGTAATTTGTTAGTTTCCCTTCACATTCATTGAGAATACGGAAGAAAAGGTTAGATGGAGGGAAACAGAACTGAGAGTTCTGCGGATCTAGAACAGAAAGGGAGATGTTAGAATTTTATTTTATTTTTCTTTTTCTTCTCTTTTAAATTTTTTTGTTTTCATGCATATTTAATTTGTGGTTTCAAGTTGTTAAACGCATAAATGCGGGTATTTCTCTCTTGTTTGAAACTAGTTTTTTTTTTTTTTAAATCGTGAAATGTTCATTGAAATAGTTGAAATCTCAAATATATATATATATATATATATATATATATAGCTGATAGAGAACTAATTAACCCTATACGTAATAAAATGTAGATATAGTAATGGATTTAAATAAAATGACAATTAAAGTAAATCCGGTAGATTCAAAGTCATTAACGTTATGTTAATACTCAAAACATGACTTGTACTGATATAATTGAACTCACACGTGTTCATGGACATATATATAACAAGAATAAAATTTGTGGCCAGAAAGAAATCGTCTTTTCAATATTGTATATTAATCTCTATACTTTATTTATTTATATTCTACATTTAATTTACAAATATATATATATATATATATATATATGTATATATAGCTTTTTTATTATGTAGAAATATAATTAGTTACTCGAAAATATATTATGCTCCAAGGACATTTCAAGCTGAGTATTATTGATTAAATTTGTTCATAAAAATAATTGAACTTATTATAAATTTTGATCAGGGACATTTGTTTGGGTAATGATCGAGCTCGAACAAGTCCTTTCTTTTTTCTTTTTCTTTTTTCCTAATCGTACAGCAGTCGAACATCATTACCAGTATCTTTTTTTCTATTAAGGGTATATAGTATTGCTAGTTCAATTTCCTCTACGATCCATGAAGTTGCTAGCCAATTTACATGGTTTGGCTTATGCAGTAGCAAGTTCTTGAATGCAATTCCCTGATAATTGAGATCAGAATGGAAAAAAAAAAAAAAAACACAAAAATTGTGCTATGATCTAGTCATGTACGCGTGATTGGTTGTTTAAAAGTTCAGCTCTGCACTTCATGCTAGAATAACATCAGTGATGGGGCTAGATATTGGTCGTGAAAGTAAAATTCTACACTTCGAACGCATGGAAAACTTGGAATAAGTTCACATGATAATGGAATTCTGCAGTTACTGATTCCTCCAATCCATAATACATAACGCACTCCAAAATTCATGTCTGATAGACAGGCCGAAGGAAAGGAATATATATCATGCAAGCTTGATGGAACCTGTAAGCTTAATCTCAAATACTTTTAACAGAAAAAATCCCTTTTATCAGACAAGACCTGACTAGTCAAGTGCAGCAAGAAAATGACCCTCGTCATCATGAATGACCGCACCATGTCCCATTTCTTCAGTCTCCTTCTCTAGGGCCCCCGAATAGGCATTTACTTTTCAACATACCAGGTGGAGGTCGCTGCTCAAAAGAAAGGGAAAAATGGATCGCAAACCCTTTAAAGTTTGAAACTTATAAATTGATAAATGTATGGAGAAAGCAAAAAGCAAAATAGTGAAGAAGAATGCTACATCGTAGAAACAAATCATCAGGGAAATCAGTGAGAATTACATAGACGTCCATTTAACAATTAACCAATGCCAGACCCCACATAGTATTTCAAGCATTATTAATACCTTGACCACAATGGGACTTCCTAGAAAAAACCTTGGTCTCAAAAACAAAGATACAACTCGAAATGACAAAATGGATCTCATCCATGGTTACTTACATGAAAAATAGGATTTAAAGAAGAAGCCTTTATTGAGGTTTCTGCGTTCCTTAGAAGGTAAGAGTGATCCTGATCTTATGAATCTGCTCCTGGGTCTCCTCCTAACCCAACTTTTTTGTTGCTTCATTTATCCATAAGCAGCAGCCAATTTATCCTTTTTCTTTTAGTTTTCTACCCCACAACGAAAAACACAAAACTATTCCAAATCCCGTATTTCATCCCATATATTCATTAAGAACAAAAGAAAACCACAATTGCAAGGCTTTCATTTACTACTAATTCTCTAGCTACTTGGAACTCGAAGAAAGTAATTCAATTCTCCCATAAACTAACATGTGGTGAATTTACCATTACATAAAGAAAAAATGAGTTCTAACTAAAATCAAGTGATCATTCACTAAATACGAAAAACATAAACTGATGTTTTAAAAAAGAAATTACATTTACAGCTTCTAGTTCTCTGGCTACTAGTACTTGAACACAATGATTCACTCTCTCTCATAAACTAGCAAAATTTGACCAAGCCATCAAAAAGTAAGAGGGATCTGAAATTTAAGAAATATTGTTTTAGGCTTTTAGCTTATATACACATGAATACCATCTAAGGCATACAAACAGTATCAGAAAGGTAAGAAATGCACATTGAACAAGTTTCAGGGCAAAATATATCGCTGGAACTAGATCAAAAATCATCAGATACATAATTGGAGTCCCAACAAGAGGGCAAACAAAGTTATAAGCGACCTTGCTATTTCAGCACCCATTTGACTTGTTCAGCGATCAAAGAAGATTTGATCTTGTATAGGATGACGAGAAATGGCATTTCAAATTAATTCTTAGGCCAAGCACATTGTTGTTACTCTCAGTAATTTCAGGAAGTAATTATTTCATATTCTGCACACATATTCACAGTCTTCTTTTGCAAAATGTATATTTTGAGATTTTAATAAAATTTTATCCAATGATGTATATTAAATTGATCAAGTCCAATCCAGGGATAAAAAATACAGAATTATTTTATAATCATATACTGCCGTGCATCGAAAGAAAATAACTGCAATTATTGCACCAACAATAGCAGCCCCACCCACAAGTGCAAACCTCCCTCCTTTCTTGGATTCTATCCCTCTTCCTTTCTTTCTTCTCAACTTTCCCACATGGAGTCCTAACACCTAAACCCAGGTTGTAAAGTTGTTGCTCTTCATAACCATTTATCCACCGAAAATTCAAGGAGATCAAATAGATGGCATCAGAAAGAGAAGTGTCAAGAATGATAAAGCAAGGATTTATCTCCTCAGACCCAACTCTTTCTTTTAATTTACCATCATCAACAACATCACCGCCACCGCCATCACCTCTGATGATGATCTCTAATAATAGCAGGAGTAAGAGTTGTAATAACTTCTCTCCAGTATATCCATACCATCAAACCCAAACCTTGTTCCAGAAGATGGCAGGGGAACAGAACCAGCAAAGAAAATTCTCAAGAATAATGAAAGAATTTGAGGAGTTGAATTGTTATGGAAGGGGAGATGTTAGGGTGACAGTGATTGGGAAAGATGGTCACACCCGGATTTCAGTGGATGTGCATAAAAGGGTTCTGTTGGAAAAGAGTGGCTTCTTTAGGGATAGCTTGAGAGGGAGAGATCAAGGAGTTGTTACGCAATCTGTGGAGATCAGTGAGTGTGGTGATGTCGAGGTTTATTTGGAGACTTTAGTTTTGATGTATTCTCATGATTTGAAAAGGAGATTGATGAGGGAGGATGTCTCCAAGGTCTTGGCTTTCCTCAAGGTAGAATCTTCACACTTGGATTGTCTTTCTTGTTTTCTTTCTTTCTTCAATTCCTCAAGGTAAAATTAGTGTTCTGTTCTAGGTATCTGTGGATATCATGTTTGAAACAGGGATTGTGTCATGCTTGGAATACTTAGAAGCTATTCCATGGTCTGAAGATGAAGAGGAAAAAGTTGTATCTCATCTCAGTCAACTTCAGCTCTGTGACTCGGCAACTGAAGTTCTCCAGAGAGTGTCGTCAGAACCATCTACATCTACAAGCGCTGATGACATCTTCTTGACACTGTTGAGTGGTGTTATGCTGGCAAAAAATGACAAATCGCGCCGAGAAATGAAAACTCTGATTTCTCGGTTCTTTAAAGAAGATTCATCTGATCAAAGCTATAAGCTTAATGTTTCTAAAGATTCCCTTTATTCTCTCTGCCACAGATGTCTTAGCTCTCTTGTTCTATGCTTATCTGAAGTTACAGGCATGGATGACTGCAGGGTCGATCGAGGGGTTTTAATGGGCCAAATAGCTCAAGAAGCTGAGAATATGCGCTGGATTGTTGACATTCTAATTGATAGGAAAATTGGCGATGATTTCGTGAAATTATGGGCTGATCAGAAGGAGCTTACACTTCTCCATTCTAGAATTCCAACCATGTATCGACATGAAATCAGCAAGATTACTGCACAGCTATGCATTGCAATTGGGAGAGGACATATCTTGGTGCCAAAAGATACCAGGTTCTCGTTGTTGGCTACCTGGTTGGAAGCTCTTTATGAAGACTTTGCATGGATGACAAGGGCTTGTAGATCTGTTGATAAGAAACTGGTGGAGGATGGACTCAGCCAGACAATTCTTACCCTTCCATTGCTCCAACAACAGGCTATTTTGCTTAACTGGTTTGACCGCTTTCTTAGCAAGGGGGATGACTGCCCAAATATCCAGAAAGCATTTGAGGTCTGGTGGAGAAGAACTTTCATCAGACAATATCTGGCTGAGCAAGATAATTCCCACTTGCAAATAACTGTCTGTGATCTTCCAAACTGAAAGATTTATTAATCAAATCAAATGAAATTGAAGCCAGAATATGTACCAATGACGTGACTGATACTTTTTTGCTGGTTTATGTCGATAATTTCTCTTTTTCTCCTTTAATCCGCTTGGACAAGAATATATTGTTTTAAGCTGTGTAATGTGAAACAACACACGAGCATTGAGAAGTCGTGAAAGTTGTATGATATCTGTTTGTGGTGAATTAATAACCTCGTGAATAATAATAGCCTTTACGTGTGTGTATATACACACACACACTCTTGTATAGGGGGAAAAAAATAGTTCATTAAAACAATCTACTCTCCTAGCAACTAGCGCTGCACTCACGCTCTATTTGTTTGGCCAGAAACAACTTTCAATAGAAAAGACAATTATGAAAAAACTATGTTTCAAAATTTTATTTTTCAAAAAAATATTTTTTTATATTTGATAATTATATGAAAAAAAAAATCATTGAAAAATATATTACTGTATTTATTTGATCCAGAAAATTAAAATAAAAAACAAAGCTGTAATTGTTACATCAACGAATTTTGAGAGAATTTCAATAAAGCATATTCATAATCTCATAATATAAGATGTATTTAGAAACATTTAATAAACTTTTATAAATACTGATTCTAAAATTTAAATTCAAAACAGTAAAATATACATTTTTAACCATTAAACCAATCTATCAAAATTACTTAGGATAAAATCAATTCAATATTCATATTTAGTAAAAAAAAAATTCTAAACAATCCTAGTATTGTTATTTTGCTAACTCAATTAAGATTTTTTTTTTTTTTGAAAATTGAATTGATAATTTAGTCTAAAAAATAGTTTTACAAATTATTAATTATCATTTATAGATAATTATTCATTTGGTTTCAAAAGATTAATGTTTGAATAATTTTGAAGTTAATATTGACTACAATTACCAATGAAATTTTACAACTAATTAAAATTATTCATAAATTATTGATTTAGTTGCAAATGAATCGTGTTGAGAAAATAATATATTTATTAATAAATTAATTAGTTTCAAATTTTTTCACAAATGATTGCGAGTCTTGCAATAATCATTTCTAATTATTTAAGTATAGTTTAGGTGATATTTAGAATAATGGTAAAAAAAAATAAAGATAAATTATTGAAATATTTATTAGAAAAATAATTTTAAGGTGTAAAAATGATTTTTAAGAATATTTAATGTATTTATAAATAAAAAAATTAAATGTTAATAGAAATAGAAAAAATAATTAAATAATTGATAATAAATAATTAAAAACTAATGTAATATATTTTAAATAAAAAGAGACAGAGAAAAAAATTGTTAAAATATATAAAGAGAGAGATGAATAACACGAGAGCAAGATAACTCGTGAGAGAGAAAATATTTTTCTTTTTTTAACTGAAACAACTCTATCCCAAAAATAGCTTATCAAATTCCGTTGACTGAAAATCCAATTCCATTGACTTTTTTCCTAAACACAAAACAAATATTAAAAAATAAAAAATAAATTCCTACAACTTTTTTTTTTCCAAACAAACACAACCTCAAAGTGTGGTTTATTCTTAACCAGATGATCACGCAAATTATCAATGGTGGGAAGAGTTGGGATCCAATAATTATGAAATACCCTTTCCCTCTAATTTTTTGCAGGAATTTGTGCGAAATAACTATGCTAAATGACTAATAAAACCAACTTTTCATATGAATTTAATTTTAAAGCATGAAGAAGTTGTGTACTTCTGTCTCCCTCGTACCTTGACGGGAAGTGACAACCAATTTGGAACGGCTTTCTCCACTTCTTTTTCCCTTTCCATTAAGGTTTAACGGGCACATATAGATAAGGAAAATAAGTTTCAATTTCCTTTGAATATCTCAATCATCCAAAATAACATTAATTAGAAGAATAAGTTAGTTGAAATTAGGGGAAAAAAATAAAAAGAAATGGAAAATACATTCACAAATAGTGATTTAAAAAAAAAAAAAACTTATACATCTATATATCTACATATCCCATCAACTTCAGATTTCACCCAGAACGTGATCCATTTTTCCTCAGCCAGTTTCATTTTAATGAAGATTTACAAAAATCTAAATCTCTTCATTTTTTTATCTTTTTTTCAACGATCACTTGCACATTATTTCTGTTGTCGTTTGGAAGGCG